AGATTCCTTATCTTTGCCTTCTTAATGAAGAGGACTACTGGGCTTCGGTCGTTCGACCTTCTCTGGGACGGGCCGCCCCGGTGCGGGGCCGGAGCACTACTACTCCTACTCCTACTTCTATTACTACTACTACTATTACTACTACTACTACTGCTACTACTACTACTACTACTACTACTGCTACTACTACTACTACTACTACTACTACTATCAGTACTACTACTACTACTACTACTACTACTACTACTACTACTATTACCTTTACTATTGCTTCGGTTGACACCCTGCTTCCGTGCAGTTGCTGTAGGAGCATTGTGCCCGCAACTTAAGCTCGAGATCTTGTCTGTCTTTTGCTTCGTAAAGCCTCTCGCCATGCCGAAACGTCCAGCTGCTGCCTCGGATGCTGCTGCTCTTGGTGTTGATGCAGTGGCTGCGCCAAGTGCTGACGTCTTGCAACCGCAACGCGCCGGTCGCCGCAGGGTGCTGGCGCACGGTTCGGATGCTGGGCAGGGCATTGTACCGGACATGGAGCCCGCTAGCTCCTCTGTGGCCCGGCCTCAGCGCCGACCGGCCGGAACGTATGCGGCGAGCACTCACCTCTGCCACGGTCGCGCAGACGCGGTCTGTCGCTTTTCGACGGCGACGCCTAGAGCGCGGGCTCGCTATCAAGATTCCTCCATGCAATGTCCTTGGTGCAGCGATGTGCTCCTTGAGGCCGCCTTAGCTAAGCAGCGTGGCCGCAGTCGAATGAGTCACTCCCTACGCTACTTCTGGGACCACGACAAAGATGTCTACTGCAGCGCCGTGCAACGCCTGCCCGATAGCGCGCGGCTGCACTGGCCGCTGCAGTGCCTGGGCTTGCCGCCTTCTTTTCATTCGGCTGAGGCGCTGGCTGCCGCGCTCGGGACCCCTCAGGGCTGCGGCCGTGTTTTGGCGGCGCTGCGCAAGCGCCAGGCTACGGACCCAGACCTGATAGCCGAGGCTCTTAAAGCAGTTCCTGCGCAGCATCAAGCAGACTTGCAAGCAAAGCTGGCGCAAGAGCCTCGTCGACGGCGACAAGCCCGCGCCCGTGCTGCCGCTGAGACCGTTGAGCAGCAATGGGACCGTCTGCTCGCAGGGCGTCGCCGGCTTCGAAGTCCTGCCTGCCTGGACACAGAGAGTTCCGTTTTNNGCGGAGCGCGTGACTGAAGACCGGGCCCGGGTACGCCGCAAGTTTTTCCCGGCTCGACCGAAGCAGGTGCGACACACCGGGCGCAGCTGGACGAATCCCCTCACTGACGCCCTGGCAGCTCGTGTCCGAGACCTCGCTTGGAACGACACAAGCCTGCCTCGTGCTCACGTGACGCCCATGGCCACGATGTTGGAGGACTGGTGCAAGCAGGGTGCCTGGGCCGTTTGTGAACGCTGTTACAGCTTGGAGCCGCGACATTTGAAAGAAGTGGACACGCGGCGCGTCGCAGGTCCAGCTGTGCCGCATTGTCGCTGGTGTCGACGCGACGGCCCTGCTTCCGTGCCGACCGTTGGCTGCGTCCCACGCCAGCTTCGAGGACTGACGGCGGAGGCCGTCGAGGCTCTGCGCCCGTTCGAGATCGACTGCGGCCCGTACCAGCGTCCTGTGGACGGTTATCGGGTGCACACCGCCCTCATCCGTTTACTCTGGGCTCCGTCGGCCGTGGAAGACAAGATCGCGGCCTTGCGGCCGCGCGCCGTACGAAAGCAAGCAGAGAGAGCGTTCGCTTATTTGATGCAGTCGGACTGCTCGGAGTACGTTACTTTCGTCCGGCAGCATCGGCGCTTCCTGCTCACACACCCGGATGCCAGCCAAAGCGATCGGCGACGACCGTTGCAAATGATCGAGGCGCCGGGCGTCGAGAACGCGCTATGGCCCGATCTCTACTGGGCGTCAGACCTTTGCGAGACGGTGCAGCGGGCCACGGATTCGCGCCGCCTTCGGCGGCAGCAGCACTTGCAGGACACAGACAGTGAGGACGAAGGAGGCGACGGAACCGAAGATTTCGGCCGCAGCAGCGTTCGCCGGAGCTTTTTGAAGAAGATTCTCGGTCCCATACTGGACTATGCCGGAGAGTACGAGCTCCTCCAATTCATTTTCGATCTGTCCTACTGGAGCGACCTTGGCTCCAAGCGACATGTGCAGCCGCAGCTTCCCATGCGAATCTTGCTGAAGGGAGCACCCTTCACGCCGGCTTATTGGGCCGTCCGGCATGCCGCAATATTGGACTTGCAGCGACAGTGCGGCTACCCTGTCTTGTTCAAGACCTGGGCCCCCTACGAGTGGAGCGCTCTGCTCAGTCATATGAACGTGCTGCTGCGTTCCCGCATGCATCTCGAGGGGCCTGAAACCCTTCACTTGGCCCACATTCTCGTGGAGCTCCTGCGCGAGTGGGTCGCAGGCGGCAGCCGGAAGCATGGCGAGAGCAGCACGCTCTGGCGCACGCACTGCCTGACCGGTGGCGGCCGCATCAATTTCGCGGCGCGCTTGGAATACCAGGACGGCAAACGCAAGGCGGCAAGTCAAGCCTACCATGGCCGTGGTGCGATCCATCTCCATGCCGTTCTGTTCGCAGAGAGCCTGCAGGGCCTCGAGCTGCATCGAAAGCTGCTGGCGACAGAATTGCCCGAGGGCCACGCGCTGCGGGGCTACGTGCTCGACCAACTCAGCTACTCCGGCAGCGGTTGGCCCGTCCACGACGGAGCTTCCTGCTGGGACGACCTCGATGAGGCTGTGCGTTTGCACCACACCGAGCGTGACGCGGAGCAAGGGGTGCGCGCCTACGGCTTGGAGGAAGTTGACGTGCTGAAAAGCCACGTGGACAACTTGGTGCCACAGGCCGGGGGTGGCGCCGGTGGCCGCGGCCTCCTTCTACGCTATGTCGCGACGTACAATGCCAAGTTCAGCGGCAGCTTCCACAATGAACTCCTGGACGACACGGGCGTGTCTGGATACGGGATCGCGCTGCGCGTCCTTTCGACCCTGCATCCGTCCGAGCCGGAGATGTGGGCGACCCTCTGCAAGCAGCTCTTCCCGGATTTCGCATTAGGGGGCACCATGTTGCCCATCGTCGCGCCTTGGCCTACGATGGCAGAACAGCCGGCATTTGTTCGGCGCTATGAGCAATGCTC